TGAGGGACAGCGTGGGAGTGGGCTGTGTGAGGACCCAGTGAGTGTGGGTTGGCCTATGCGAGGGACAGCGTGGGAGTGGGCTGTGTGAGGAGCTGGTTGGGTGTGGGTGTGTGAGGACCAGTGAGTAGCAGTGTGGTGTGCGGAGAGATTATGAGTAGGAATGTGGGTCTGCAAAGGTACTGAAGGGAGTGTAGTGTGTGTGTGACTGCGGAGGCCTGAGGGATACACAAGGGCCTGTGAGGAGGGGAGATGCTCATGAGACATAAGGCTGTGTGTGGGTCTGTGGGGAGGTTCAGGGTGTGGTGCTGTGCAGGAGACCATCTGTAGCAAGCGTAGGTGTCTGTTGTCGGAGTAGGGGAGGGTGTTTTGAGCCTGCCTCACCTGCGGTGCTGCCAGCCTGCTGTGGCTATCTTACTGGCTGTGTATCTTAGTGAGTCCATGATGTTTGTTTGGTTTTTCAGGTTGTAATGTGGACATAGCTCTCCAGCAAGGAGTGGATCAAATGGGCAAGTGAATTACTGAATATGTTTAATCCCCATTTTCCCCTGTACAAGATGGAGGGATTAAGAGTGTAGCTTTTACTTGTCTTGTATTGAGGCTCTAGGGAAATGCGTGAAGGGCCAGTCCGCTGGACTCATAGACGTGTGTGAGGGGCTTTGAGGGTTTTTTCCCCTTAGCACTGTCTAACTGAAGAAATGAGTTCAAAAACATCTCAGTGTTAGGGGCTGGGGAGATGGCTCAGTGGAATAAGCACTTCTCTGGCAAGCGCAAGGGCTTGAGTTCAATCCCTGGTTCCGGAAAAGAAAAAAAAAAAGCTGTAGTTAAAAAAAACAAAACCCTTAGTGTTTAGGGTTGTGTGTCTTTCCACTCAGCTTGCTCTCTTACAGCCATGATTCACATTAGCTATTTTTTGCTACTGACAACTGTTCTCCATGGATGTTTTGTCTTTAAACTGGAAGTGCTGATGCTTTTGAAATCTTTTTTCTTCTTTCTAAATTGAAAAGAAGGCAACATAATTTAAAACTGCATTTGAATGTCATTTTCATGCCCTGTTTTGGAATGGAGAAGGAAAACCCAGCGTGTTTCTATAGCTGGTGTTTACTTGAAGACTGCCCTGCTTCCTGAAGACCCGAGATCGATCTCGACACTGCCCCCTGGCCCACGGGGGTCAGCAGGCAGGGCAATCCTGGAGCCTCCCAGACCTGCTCTGGCTCAGACGCAGTGAGCTGTTCCCTTTGCGTGTCCTGGCTTCTCCAGCTGACCTGTTACCTTCGAGCCAGTCACCTTTCTTCCTGTTTTACCTCTTTGGCTTTTTTCCCACAGAAAAATAGTTTTCATTTTATTGTCCTCTGTGCCTTGGGCTTTTGGTTCTTAGGTGTTCACATTGGGTCCTGCCCTGCCCTGTCATCTCTGGGACTGCTACTTTGATTTTAACTGTCTGATGCCACCTGCACTGGCCATGATAAAATCAGGAGGGTTTTTTTTTTTTTTGTTGTTGTTGTTGTTTTTTGTATTTAGTACAGGGTCTCACTAGGAGATTAAATTGGTGTTTTAAATTAATTTATCCTGATTTCAGGACCTTTGACCTATTATGCTGTTTTTGCCTCAGAATTTTATATAAATTCATAGGTCTGACCCTCACACAGTGTGACTCAGGAGCTTTGGGCTTGTCTCTGGGAATCTGAATTTTGAAGGACTGATGGCCCAGCCTGGAGGATATGCGGTCACTTTGCAGTGGCGACTGTGCTCAGCCTCTCTGCGAACCAGCCATGCCTGGCTTGCGAGGTGGCAGAGCCAGCAGGAGCTCAGTCCTGTGTGCTCTGTGCTAATCCCGGCCATATCTGAGTATTTGTGTTTTCTCAAGACGTCAGTTTCTTTAGATATCCTAGGAAGGCTTTCGTTGTCTTTTGTGGATTGAATATGTCATCTTTTTTGCAAAGGCAGTAATGAGTCCCAGTCAGTCTTGGTTTCCCTGGAAACCTAGCCAGGGGGAGTTCCTCGGCAGAAAATGCTCACTTTGCCCACTGGGCGGCGCTGCCATGTCTTCAGTGGTGTCAGAGGGCGGGATGCTGCCGAGAAGGGCTGTGTGCTGCAGTTGTGTGCACGTGGGGTGGGCGAGCGTGTGTGAGCATGTGTGTGTGCGTGTGGCTGTGCGTGCATGTGGCTGTGCGTGCGTGTGGCTGTGTGTGCGTGCGCCTTGGATCTGTGCTTCCCAAACACAGGTACTGGAAAACAAGCCTGGGAAATCAGACGTGTTTGGAACGCGGCCTGGCAGGTGCAGAGGCGTCCTGCATGTCTAAATGGC